GACGAAAACGAATTAATAATAAATACAATAGGTAGGTCCTGTTATAGAGGCCGTTCGGGATGAAGGTCGGGGAAATTTGGACTGATACTGGAAATGAGGGTATTTAGGATAGGGACAGAATTTTTGCCTTGCAACAGGCCACCTACGGTCTCATCAAAGAGTTGCTGCAATGGTTCTTAACGTGTGCTGAGAGCGTGGCACTCTCTACAGGAGCAATCGGATTAAACGTCTGAATACCGGACGTGGCTGCGCACTTATACATCCCGAACAGCCAAACGGACACCCACCTTTGCAAGAGTTTTACTGCCGGTCGGGAGAAGACCATATTTCTATTCTCCAGTCACCCTTGGGTTTCGGATTTGATGGAGAGTAACTATGATTGTTTTATATCTATGTAGTGTTTTTAAAATGTTAATTATAGTATCACATGTTCTTTCTTGTAAATATTTTCACCATTGAAGGTACATAAATGTTTGTGTTTTGATATCGTCTTATTGCATGCCGACCGTGCGAGAACATCATAGGTAGCCAAGATCGTTAAACACTCTCCTAGTAGTAATCTTATTGCGGACTACATTTATATTTCTTTTAAGACCTAAATGATATTTCTTCAGCTCTTATCTTGTGTGTTGGGGGAGGGGTTGGATTTGGAAGAAGATATCAAATGGAAAATAAAAAATAATAAGTTGGAAAAAAACAGACGATATCATGGCCTAAAATAAAAACAAGACAACATTCTATGAAACATTATACATCGAACTAAAGACTGAGCAACAACAACCCACAAGAAACTAAAGTAATATCAGGTACTCCAGAAGGTTTAGCAGATTCTGTTCATGGCACCCGTCGTTGATATGTCGCATTCAGAAACTGTCACAATCATGGAAACTGAAGAGGACGGGATTGTGATTACGACAGTTGAAACACATTCGTGGTTATCTTGACATATATATTCCACAACGGCCAACCAAATCATGAAAGCGTCCGTAAAACTTTCAAAGTGATGATTTCAATTATACCATACCACTTAGAACCCTTGGTTAAATAGCTTCCTTGTAAGCAGCATCCCTCTATAAAGGAAATCACGATAGGAAATGCAAGCTCTGTGATATCGTATTGTGTGTAATGAAGTTATCTTCAGAACATATATAGACACGGTTATACAGTCATATGAAACGGAATGTTAAGGAAATTGTTAAACCAATGCATGTATTAATACTAAACTAAGTCATATATGCACGATTTGTTTACAATGATCACAAATCAATAACATATAATCGACAAAAAGTAGTTCATCCAATGAAAACTTTCCCTGCTAACTAACTTTCGTGCTTTCTTGACGAAGTTTACCGGACGTGACTTTAATAAACAATCAACACAGAACCATGGAGCACGTGAAAAATAGTTGAGAATAGAGCGATGTTTTTAGCATTTTCCCTGCGTTTCTATTTGTTTATTAAACTTGCATAAAAGTTGTTAAATGATTTAGTGTACTTAAAAACTTACTTTCTAAACCTATATACACTATATAATTTCCACATTTGTTTACCTTTTCTTTTATCACGGTTCTTCCCTCGCACTGCCGAAGTAATACCGATAGGTCTCGTGGTTAAGGTCATTGTATACGGGAAAAAATAGGTGAATTAGAGTGCGGGAAGACAATAATTCAATAGCAGTACGTTTCAGAAGATTTTGATAAGATAAAGGATTTTCCTGTAAAAGAAAGCTTATGTACACGTGTTATATAGTAACACTTAACCATTTAGGTATCTCAAACGAATTCATTTTTTTTTTAAATTCGAAGTACATGTATCATTTGACTTAAAAGCTAAATACTTATAAACTGTGCTGAAAAGAATCATATACAATATGATATCAAATAAATCCATTTGTACAAAAATAAGTAAAAAAACTGTTACCAAAGACAACCACATAAAAAAGTAACATTCAAGCACATGGAATGCCGATAAAAACAGCTATGCTTCAAATTAGGACATTTTTAAAGTTTTATTTTCATTCATTCGGTTGTCAATTTGTCGGTTTTTTTTTGGGGGGGGGGGGAGGGGGGGGGCTTAGTGTTGTCGGTTTCTTTTCGACATATGCGTTTTGATTTTCCTCTGGAATTCCGACTCTATTTTTTTCGACTTTTATCAACAGGGTACTTGCTGTATTGATTGCTCCACTCATCACTAGACGCCTTCAGAAAATATCACGACAAAAGAATACGATTAAAAGAGTGTTACTTTGCTACACACATTGTAAGTTCCTGATATTTATGTATATTGTTTCGTGTACATCTACCTATATTCCTTTTTCACATGTTACATCTAACATTGATGTAACAACATTCTAGATGAAGTACGGTAATTGCTTGAGACTGATGACATTGCACTATATATCTACTAAATCTCTGCATATTGTGCAGTAAACAAAGCCATCTGTCTGTAATAGTCTGTTCTCTATAAAACACAATCAACCTGTCTCTATACATACTTGAAGTGAATATTTGGAGTCGTCTGTAAAAATTGTGATAAATTAGTTAATAATTCATAAGTGTTATTAGATTAGTGTAAAGAGCTAGAAAAAACAAATTATGAATGAATGAACTTCTTTAGGTTTGCACTTGATAGTATAAAAAGAGACAGGCATTGGTAAAGGTTAACTTAGAGTAATGGTATTATGTTTTATGTTCTACGGAAATTAAATTATTTTGACACACTCTTTTGCAAGTATAAATATAAGTGTAACTGATTTCAATCCATTTGGCGTTCTTTGGTTCCTATAATTGTCAATTAATCGGATTTAAATTCGGAGTAAACATAAGTATATTACATAATGTGATTGTTATAAAAACTTATTACAAACAGAAAAAGAAATTAAACAATTTGAAAGGTTGGCAGACGAAAGCAATAAAAACAAAAGCGTGAAAATTCTATCTAAAGTGTGATCTAAACCCAGTAGACGAAATTTGAAAGTTTACACTAGATGGATTTTACTTATTTTTGTATTTGTGCCTTTGGGTACCTTTTGGTCTTTGGATACCTTTTGGTCATGTTGCTTCTCAGGTATATAAGTATTTGTACAGCGTTGGTTTTCATACTTTGGGGTTTGGATATTCCTGATGAACGTAAAAAAGGCGCTTCGGACGCAACAAACTTTAAGTGTTCTTTTCATTTTCTAGCATTAGATCGATAACGTTGTTGGTAGACTGCTGGTCCCCAAAGGTATCATCAGCTCAGTAGTCAGTTCTTTGGAACTCCCATGATTCACAACAAATTGATAAATTAACAAATTATTTAAAAGAAATTCCAACACCCTCAGGTAAAATTGAAATTATACATGTAAGTTTAGCCATTCTTTTTTGGTCCCTTTTTGGTCATATAGCTCTCAAGTATTTATAAATCATCCATTGGCTTTCAAATTGTTGTGTTTGAGCGGTCATAATTAAGGTAAATTCAGAAAAGGGCATCAGACGCACCAAATGTATAAGTTTTAAATTCCTTTTAAATGAATTTATACTTGAAGTAGTTATTTCTGCAATTTTTGCAAACAAAGGCTTGTATTTTATATATAACTTAAATGGAAAATACCTGTTTAAACTATTCAAAAATATATGGAGAGGCTGTGTGCCAACAATTTTTGAATAGGTTGGATGTGACTGTCACTGAGTTAATTATTTAAAAAAAATACCAACGGGGCTACACATTTTCAAACAACAGAAAAACAGCGTATCAAGATAATATCTATAGTTGCCATAATCTCTTTCTCCATTACTGTTGTATGACTTGTCACCGAATGAGTTTTATTACCGGATTTTCATTCTTATTCAGCAACATGACAGTTTCCACCAGTGCAGTAGTAATAAACGCTGGCCGCCACGAAATAGCCAAGTGTTGAAATTGGCGCTAAACATAAAAAAAAACAATCGATCAATCAATCGATCGATTGGTAAAAAACAATGGCTTGGTTTTTGGTTTTTTCTATTTATAGTTTGGAGGGTATCAGTATTGTTCTGATAGAAAATAAGACACTTGTAGATTGTGCGGTACAAAAATTTGAGAGAACCTTGTAACTATTCTAAGTTCATTAGACTACATAGACAAGTTACCGCAAAGTGTGGAATACTTACTTTTCCACAAACTTATAATGTCTTATACATGTAAGTAATATACAATAGTAAATGATCTACTTTTTCGGATTTACGTTTTAAGAACAGTACAGTCATCAAATATTAGCATAAAACATCTGTCAAAAGAGTATTAATGGCTTTTTTTATATATACATTTACGGTACATCGCAAGTTTCCTCTTTGTATACATTACCATGAGAAATACACTTCAATCTGATTCTGATTCATTAATTTATTTATATTTTGCGTAATTGACTGGAGAAATTATTTTTGGCAGTCTGTATGCAATTTCAAAACAAACAGAAAAAAGCAAAAACTATTTAGAAACATCACACCTGTCTTCAAATGTTGCTTATTTAACCGATAATGTCTTTGATATATAAAAATAAATCTCATCTGTTTATTTTTCATTAGAGAATTCATTTGTTAAATTTGTTTTTCACATTTCATTTAGAAAAAGTTGACACCAATTTGTACGTATTATAAAGTAGTTTTTGACAAGTCGACGAACCATGTATGCGATGATACCGGTTTCTTTTATTCTTTTTAAATTGAAGACTGTATTTAACAAAAACTGGTCAAGACTTTATTACTTTATATAGTGACATTTTATGGTACTACAATAAAGCCTCCCTTTGTATTCTAGACTTTATACTTTGATTTAACTTCATGATTACGATATACTTTGTGAGACTAACGTGGACGGTTACTCCATATATTATGTGAAATGATTGTAAATTTGAAACGTTTTGTTGAAAATATTCGATGATCAACCTTTGTGATTTATTTCTGTACGAAACAGTTACTTTAATAAATTAACTTCTAATCCTAACGTGTAATTAAATTCACATTGAAATCGTCCACCTGAATCTTCATAAATAAGAAATATAGGTTTATCTACTTTACAGCGAGTTCCCGTAGTGATTATGACTTTACTTTTCCTACTGTCAAGATTAAACGTAACGCTAAGAGCGTCGTGACTTACAACTTCTCGCTACCATCAAAATTGAGAGGGTTGTGATTAAAAATTTCGATGAGAAAAAAGAAATTATTTGTAGATCAGTGAGAATATGGGAACGGAAATACCTACGTTGGTAGTAAGAATCTTGATATAAGTTACTGTTTGGTTGTATTATCAGTGAACAGTAGTTGAAAGTACTCAATTTATCTGAACCTATGGATAAAGGAGGGTAGATAAATAGAAAGGGATATTTTTTTTTAAACTGTAATCTAATCAACTTCCTCAATGACAGTTGGAATACATCGTGCATTGAAAAAAAATAAAGAGAAAAAAAAAAAACAACAAAATTTGAAGTTTTGAATATTAATGTGTTTCAACTTCCGAAATGATATAATCAAGAAAGCTATTCGATTTCAACACATAAGATTGTCGATAGGAGAACTAGTGTAAATAAAGAATTTAAACAGTATTTTAAATGTTGAATGGAGGTTTAAATTGTTATAAGAACATCGTTCTTTTATAATTCCTAAAAATGTGCAATATTTTGGAATTGTCTTTCATATTTTTTGCAATTTTCTGTGATATTATTCATTCCTGGAACGAACCTGGCTTGCAGAGAGACGAAAATAGATATAGATGGCAGCGAGATGATCCAAATTCCAGACTGCGGGGGTAGGTCATATTTTTTAATATTGATCCTTATTCTAGAATACGGGGTATGTTTTTTTACTTTATCTTCATATTTTATATATGCATTTAGAATGGTACATCTTTTTATTCATTATTTTCTGTTGCGTAATTAACTGTCATGTTTAAAGTAGTATGTTAGCTTTTATTTTTATTACTAACTTCAAAATTTTGTTTCTTGCGGTTCAAAACTATATGCTGACAGCGTGTAGAAATTGAAGTTATTTGTTTAACATCATATTTTGACAGAAAACAGACATATTGCCACTTTCATGAGATAAGATTTTCACTTATAATTTAAAACAAATCCTAATTATTACAGATGGAAATTATCTATTTGAGAAATCTGGGTAGTGATAGTATTTTAACACTTAAATGAAGGTCAATAGAGTATATATGAGTTCTATCTAGAGAAAAAAATTTCCAAATTGACGCATCCAAAAAAACCAATAACCTCCAAATCTGAAAAAGTGGGACTCCGATTTCAGATGTTAAACAAGAGGTACTACGATCAAAGCTAACAAAATGATACCCCGTCGCTTGCAAAGACAATGAATTGTTAAGGGAAGACCCAGAAATAATTCGGGTTAGAAACAAAGTTGGAGGAACACAGTGTCATTGTATGAGATTCTGAGAAACTTCCATTAGAATATGATAAGGGTTCAAGGAAAAGAAGCGGATACAAATGTGTACTATGGTGTGCAGATATGACGAAGTCCATGTTTTCCCAAAGTAAACCCTTAAAATTATTCAGACGTAAAAAAATAATTATGAGGTGCAAACATACATAATGTGAGTAAGATTCTGTAAAAGATTCACAAATCAAGTAAAGCGGTTCAGGAGCAGTTGTGGATACATCAGTAGGTCAGAAGAAAGAACAAACGAGCAAACGAACGGCCGGACGAACAAACGGATAAACTCCCTATCACTGTGGAGGTATAATAATTCGTGACGAATTAATACTGTGAAGGGAAAAGGAATATTCTGAATTAAAGTTTGTCAACAAAACACTCCGTTATATTATCACAATATTTGTCCAAATTTGATGTAACTACAATTAGAAGTTAAATGAACCAAGTCAAAATGTCTCATTCAACCGGATTATTTCTGGGTCTGTATGTCCATTATTTTGATACGATCAATGCGCCTTACCCTAGACGGATGAACTAGAAACATTGAATATTCTTCGTTTTAAAGTACCCAGTTCTCACTATGTCTGACTTTATTTGTTTAAGATATTAATCTTTTGAATGGTTTCACAATACTTGTTGTAAATATTTTCAACAAGTGTCGAATTTTAAGGCCTCTTATCTGTTTATGTAAACTTTCGCTTATTCTTAACCCTTTAACATATCTTTAAAATATGTTAAGTGTGTATTCTCGTATTTTACTGCTGATATCTGACAAACTAAGAATATTTCGATTATTTTCATGATGATTTAGCAAATATTAAACAAACCACATGGTTATGATTAAAATGAGATTTTAGGAAAACTTTAATCGAACAATACCAACAAAACGCTTTTACGAAAAATAGACACCAGTCTGTATATCCTCCTGCTCAACTCTTAACAAAATCCCATATTATGGTTTTGTTGTATCCCCTCATTTCTTTGACAACAACTTTTCGAGTCTACCAAATATACTATTTTGCGTGTGGAAAAAGATATAGTTATTGTTTTTATCAATTAAAATAATACAAAAGCAGAAGATTCTGATCATACATTTTCAGCTGCTCGAAAAAATAAAAGTTTTGAGCTCGTCTGCTATGCTCACGCGCGGCACGAGTTCATTTATCAACATGTTGAATTTTTTCCCAACATTCTACGATAACTTGTTATGTAATATTGTTAACATTTGATGTGTTTCGGTTTCTGCAATACCGATATAATCAACTGTAATGTTCTAGCTGATTTTTATTACAAGTTTTATGACTTTTTGTGTATCTTTGTTCTTTCACTGATCGAGACAAAACGCAAATTGGGAGGGTTGATAAGTCACAAAACTAGGTAAACACATGGTTTTGCAAGTTTCCCTGTCGATTTTCTTCTGCCAGCACTTTTGCGGTCCCTTAATGTTTTTATCCGTTGAAAATAATTTTATTTATATGCTGACGGAATTTATTTTAGGCGCAAATGTTCAAGAAATGACTTCATCAAGATGAATGTATGTCGAATAAACGGTCTATACGCATTTTCTTTAGTAGAATTCGTTAGAACAAAATCCGCGAGATAACATGTCTGACATAATTTTTTGTTTAGCTACAATAAATAATACACTTTACAATCTATCAATCGTCAAGTGTGTTTATATTGTAGAACAATGTAGACTTTAGATCTTGACGTTCGCATGTTAAATACCTCATTGCATTTTTGTATTCTTACAAGATTTAAAGTATTGATAAATCTTGAAGTCAATTTGAGTAGCTAAGAATTAATAGCTATTGGGCTGTTTACCCCCCATCCCCACCCCAACCCCCTTTTTAGCTCACCAGGGCTTCGGGCCCCATGTGACCTTATGCCATCACTTGGCGTCCGTCGTCGTCCGTCGTCTGTCGTCGTCGTCTGTCGTCGTAAACTATTTCAAAAGTCTTCTCCTCTGAAACTACTGGGCCAAATACCTTCAAATTTTAACTAAATGTTCCTTAGGGTATCTTGTTTATAAATTGTATCCGAAGTTTTGATCCATCGACAAACATGGCCGCCATGGCTAAAAATAGACCATAAGGGTCAAATGCAGTTTTTGGCTTATATCTCAAAAACTAAAGCTTTTAGAGCAAATCTGACAGGGTTAAATTGTTCAATTGGTCAAGATCTATCAGCTCTGAAATTTTCAGACGAATCGAACAACCCATTGTTGGGTTGCTGCCACCGAATTGGTAGTTTTAACAAAATTTTGCAGTTTTTTGTTATTATTTTGAATATTATTATAGATATATATAAACTGTAAGCAGCAATAATGTTCAGCAAAGTAAGATCTACAAAAAAGTTAATATGACCATAATTGTCAATTGACCCCTTAAGGAGTTATTGCCCTTTAAAGACAATTTTACACAATTTGTTCATCAAGTTTGCTAACATTTAAAAATCTTCTCCTCTGAAACTACTGGGCCAATTACCTTCAAACTTTAACTAAATGTTCCTTAGGGTATCTTGTTTATAAATTGTATCCGAAGTTTGTATCCATCGACAAACATGGCCGCCATGGCTAAAAATAGAACATAAGGGTCAAATGCAGTTTTTGGCTTAAATCTTAAAAACTAAATCTTTTAGAGCAAATGTGACGGGGTAAAATTGTTTAATTGGTCAAGATCTATCTGCCCTGAAATTTTCAGACGAATCGAACAAGCCATTGTTGGGTTGCTGCCACCGAATTGGTAGTTTTAACAAATTTTTGCAGTTTTTTGTTATTATTTTGAATATTATTATAGATATATATAAACTGTAAGCAGCAATAATGTTCAGCAAAGTAGGATATACAAAAAAGTTAATATGACCATAATTGTCAATTGACCCCTTAAGGAGTTATTGCCCTTTAAAGACAATTTTACACAATTTTTTCATCAAGTTTGCTAACATTTAAAAATCTTCTCCTCTGAAATACAGGTGAGCGATCCAGGCTCTTGAGAGCCTCTTGTTTTGTTTGCCCAACTTTCACTGCACAACGCCTTTTGTTGTAGAAGTATATAGGGTATATTTAAGTAAAAAGATTATTGATGAGCATTTCAGTGCGGAAACATGTTGACAATTTATCAATTGATAGACTTTTAAAAGTGGGTAGAATTTATTAGCAATAAAGGAAATGTCCAATGAAAACCAACTACAAAATGGAAAAAAATGTTCTCAGAAATCTGTTTGAAAGACAACTATTCTCATTAAATGCTTTATAAATGTTTACGATGACATAAAAGGAATTAAAAAATAAAACATACATTATTTAAAAAAAATAAAGGATATGGGGTATCCATCCATGACACAAAATCAGAATATGCACCGCAAAAAAATACACACAAAAAAAGCAAAGGATAAGCGCTTTTATTGCTGTTCTGACTGTTATATTAACAAAAGTATTACTTTGAAAACTGTACTGCTTCCCTTGCTTTGTAACAGGAAGTTTGAAATACTTTTAAACATTAAGTTTATTTGTAAAATAAAAAATACGATGCTCCGCCTTTTTCATCGTTCAGATAATCCCGTCAAGTACATTTGCATTATATAAGTTTCAACAAATAAATAATATCAAAATGCAATCAATCAACGGGCAGACTTACAAAAGGAACTTAATGAAAGATAGCAAGGATTAAAGAAAAATGAAAACCTACATGTTGAGAACATCTTTTCGGGAAATAAATCTTTTAGATAAGTTATAATTTAACGCCTACGTCACTACGTTTTACGTAATGTTTGTTGTGTTTAACAGATGGTTTTCAGATATACTTTCCGTTTTGTTTTGTTTTTTTGTTTGTTATTTTTTATATATTTTTTTTACAATCTATCAACATTATGTATACAATAATTGTTTCGATTGACGAAAAATACAACCATTTTTATATACCACTGGATCGATACCTCTGCTGGTGGACTGTTAGTCCCTGAAGGTATCACCACCCCAGTAATGAGTGCTTCGATACTGGCATGAAAAAGAAGCATACTGTGTAATTGTTTGCTGTTACAAAATTTTGGAAATTATTTCAAATTAAGGAATATAGTATCTCCCTCGTGCTAAGCTCTGATTCTTTGCACGGCTTCGGCTTTACTTTTTGTCTTTTTGGTTTTATCAGCTCTTCAACATTTTTATGATTTTTTGATTTTCAAATATTTTGGCATCGAGAATCACTGAAGAGATATTAATTGTTGAAATGCTCATCTCGGGCAGTAAAATTGGTACCGTGAATCATGAGTGAGGGAAATGAACAATATTACAATCGCAAGAGTGCAAGACTAAAAATATCATGCAACCGTAGGCTCTATCGATGCTTTCCGAGT